TGATAAACATGTTTTTCACCCTGAGAGATATAATTTCAGACAAGAGGAGTAAGTTCTTGCATCACAGCAGCAATTTGCTAGGCTGAAAGCTCCTGATACTGGAGGACTGGATGCAGCTGCAGATACCAAATGATTGTGTTCTCATAATAGTAACAACTATCAGTATTGTCAACATTTTTAGTGTCACAGATACAACTGAGCAACAAATTCAAGCAGTACTAGAGGAGGTGGTTTACTCTGACAGACGATTTATCCACATCTAAAGTAGTTTCTCAAGGAAAAGTAGCAAAAGTTCAACAGTATATTAGTGGGAAAAGAAATCTTGTTCATCTGCCAGTCACTTGTTGTCACAATAAGTTAAAAGAAAGGTCATACAACATCCTGCAGATATCTATTTTGCCCCTAAACAAGCTGCAGCTTCTTAGGGCAGAGTTTGGCATATTAAAATGCAGCACTAGTAAAAATTAGTTGTGCTCAGTTTTACCTGAAAGCAGAAGAAATTGTGGGGTTTAAGTACTCCTTTTAGATAAGAAGTGGGAACAGCAGAGAAATATTAAAGTCTCTCCGCTGAATACATCCCATATGACAATACCAAAAAGCATCCCTGATGCTTCATCTTCTAAGTCAATTATAACACAGTGAAGAAACTGCCTAAAGGCAAAATGACAACACATATGTGAAGAGGAATTATAAGGTTGGGAAGAGGTTACCTGTAGGGTAATCTCAAGGATAAAGCCAACACACCTGGTGTAATGCAGTGCATATGCATCCTTAATGAGTAAATAGCACATGTACTGCTGACAGGGCTGGCAATTCTTTGATACAGTGGAAGATCAAGGCCAGCCAGTTCTGCCTGCAAAACAACACCTGAAGACTGAAGCAAGAGAACACATGGAGATTTGTGCAGTAATGAGCTCAGAGTCATGCACTTGGAGGTTAAACAACTCCGTGGAGCTGGGAGCTTCTCAGTTCAAAATAACAAGGGGAAAATAATGTTTGCTTCCTGTGGTAGTTGTAGATCAACACAATAGTGTGACCATTAGACAGTCTTTGCAAAGGTATTAACACTTTTAACCACCTGACAAGAATTTCTTCTGAAATTCAATCACAATTGGCAAATGTGTTTGGTTTTCATAGAATCATAGAATTTTAGG